AAAAAAAAATGGCAAATAAGCAACCCCGACCCCTCCAGCCTCCGGACATCCCAGTATCATTTTGGTGCAGGGCAACCAGGGACCAAAGTCCACTCTGAACCGAGTGGACAGGACAGCACTGACCAACCTCATGGATTCACAAGGGGAGACGTAGCAAAAAGCAAACACTCAGCAAATGAATCAATATGTAGAACAGCAGTCTGGGGACGGGGTGGGGGGTCAAAGTAAAGAAACAATATGGCCTCCCAAAACAGATCACAGTTACAGCTGCCCATTGGAGACTGCAATCCCACTCTCCTAGTTCGTGTGTGCAAATGCCATGAGAGGTAGTCCCAGGCCCAAGGACTGACAAGGCAGAAACCAGGAGGGGAAACTGAGGCAAAGAAATCAAGCAACTTGCCTATGGTTACACAGCAGATGAGTGGCAGACCTGGGCTTGGTCTCCAGATCTCCTCAGTCCCAGCTGATGTTGAAGACTTCAAGGGAATCTGGAAGTAACAGATGAACCAAGAGTTTAGCAAAGGGGAAATGAAGTCTCTGGGTATCTCAGAGCCAAGCCAAGCACTTAGGCTATCAGCCTACTAGGACAGACACCACGAGCAGCCTGCATCATCCAAGTGCCAGCAGACAAGCCCTCAGCAATCAATCCCTGACTGAACTCTCTTCATAAGAGGTCTACACCCCCCTACTGCAACCATGTGACAATATAGCAGCACCCAGGTACACATGGGGGGCTGAAGGGCCACTGCAGCACCCGTGTAAGCCTGTAAAGCCTCACTCTGTGCTGCTGAAGCCTGCAGCAGCTCTGGGGAGTCTTCACCAAAGCGCACAGGCACTGACAAAAGCTGTTTGTTCTCCCATCAAAAGCAGCCTCTGTGGAAAGCCAGGGACACAGTTCTCCAGACACGCATCCTCCTGCAAACAGCACAGCTCCGCCAGGGACCCCATTTCACCATTATTCCCCAGGAACACCCAATCTGAAGCAGGGCCCTATTGTTGACCCCACTGTTACTTCCTCCTCCTAGGAGTTCTTTCATCTCCGTCAATACCGAAAACTCGAGTGACCCAAAGAAACGGGAGACAGTGAGCCTGAACAACACACTGCCTGTGACAAAAGCTTATGCTCCTACCTGGAAATTGCAGTGGCACCCTGAACACCTTCCCTCTTAAGGGCCTATCATTCAAGAAGAGAAAGTATCTAAATAGGAATTGTCACATCCCTCCCAGAGCAGACAGCAGTGAACCCCAGCGCCTGCTTTTCCCATCAAGGCTCCACTCACATGGCACACATGGGCTGCCCTCGCCATTTCACCTTGCAGTTCGGTCACGATTTTTGCCTCCCAGTAATTCAGAGAGGTGTGAATCAGTGGATGCCTGCAGAAGAGTTAGGCTGGATTGAAAGGCAGCGCACCTGGGGCCACCACGGGGCAAACCATTAGTACTGAGATCATCAGGCAAGCAAGGGGAAGGGGT